GATACATTAAGGGAGACTTATTTACCTCCGAGATCTATAAAGTAGAAATACAAAACCTTCCCAAATACATCGGGTTTAATGATGTGAAAAAGTTCCTTGCTAAATACGGACTCAATCCTCATAAGATAAAACTTTTTGGGAAGCAGACGTTCGCATTCATAACATTTAAGAGTGAGGAGGAGAGGGACAAGGCCATGAAAGTCCTGCATGGGGTTTTGTGGAAGAGCCGGCACCTGAGCGTTAGGCTTGCCAAGCCAAAAGCTGACCCCATTGCAAAAAAAAGGAAGAAAGAAGAGGAGACGGAGCAGGGAGAGGCGAAGCGTCCGGCTCCATCCAACGCCAGTGGAGAGGAGCCTCTGAGCAAGCAAATTGCAGATGTTGTGACCCCTCTGTGGAACGTGCCCTACGAAGAGCAGCTGGCAAAAAAGAAGCATGAATGTGAACAAGTGCTGCAGAAGCTGACAAAGTAATTCTTGTTTGTAAGGCTACTGTGATGTTTACAAGGCTTGACCTTATGTTGGGATATAGCTAAATTTGCACAAAATGCTATCTCTAAAATAAAGTAAGTTAGAGGTGGGAGAAAACCCAAATCCCTTGACAAAGTAGATAAAAGAATCTGTGATGCTAGGACTTAAAAGCTGTTCCAGCTGACAAAACTTGCTATTGCTGTTCTTGGTCAGCCTCGAAAGATTGCTAAATGAGGGGGCATTGTTTTAAGGTCTGTTGTTCCAGAGGTCTAAGCAGAAGAATGTTTGTACCCTTAAAGTTAAAAAAAAATTGGCACTGTCAAATGGTGTAATAGGCAGTCAATCCATAGAGATGGTAAATTACTATTAGGATTTTCTCTTTAAAAATCCCTTCAAGTTTTTATGCCTGGTCTTCGTAGATCAAAGTATCACTTCTACCTCTTGCCTTACTTACATAGAAAAAATTGGCATTCTTTTCATGCATGGGTACATTGATTAATCTAGTACATAGCTTTATAACTACATTTAACTCTTTATTTTTTCAGGTTACAGCTCTTACAAAGTTGGAGGCGGTTTGCCTGTTAAAAAATTCTTCTGGAAGAAAAATGTTTACTTGCTATTGCTGTTCTTGGTCAGCCTCGAAAGATTGCTAAATGAGGGGGCATTGTTTTAAGGTCTGTTGTTCCAGAGGTCTAAGCAGAAGAATGTTTGTACCCTTAAAGTTAAAAAAAAATTGGCACTGTCAAATGGTGTAATAGGCAGTCAATCCATAGAGATGGTAAATTACTATTAGGATTTTCTCTTTAAAAATCCCTTCCAAGTTTTTATGCCTGGTCTTCGTAGATCAAAGTATCACTTCTACCTCTTGCCTTACTTACTTAGAAAAAATTGGCATTCTTTTCATGCATGGGTACATTGATTAATCTAGTACATAGCTTTATAACTACATTTAACTCTTTATTTTTTCAGGTTACAGCTCTTACAAAGTTGGAGGCGGTTTGCCTGTTAAAAAATTCTTCTGGAAGAAAAATGTTTCATCTGATAATCTGATATCTTTTCCTGCCCTATACAGAAAAAGAAAAAAAAATGGTCTTGTACAATGGTCTTGAACTGTTAACTTCAGTTTTTCTAAATATGTACTTTACAATTTTTGTTTCTGATTTGGGCAGGGAAATAGGAAATAACAACAGAGCTTTATTACCGTGGTTGTTCCTGCAGAAGCAGAAGTATAATAAATTATGTTGCCCAGTAGAGGGAGTGAAAGCATCACCATTACAGGTAACGTAATCCTAGGTGAAGTATGGAATGGGATTAATGAGCTTAGGGCTAAATTAGTTATTTGGTCTTAAGAGACAGTGGACAAACTGAATATTTGACTTGTGACAAATGATGAATTTTAGATGTTGTGGCCTTTCATGTAAATACCACGTGGAAATATCTACAGGAAGCGGAAGAATAGTTACAATTAACTGGATATTCTACCTTTAAAGTGAATATGCTGTCCCTGCAAGCTTGTGTTGTAGGCTAATACATTTTTCAACAGAGGCAATATTTTTCTCTCTAAATAAGAATTCTTACTCATACTTCTTCATTATTGCTGTTATACATCAAAATCCAGGAATATCTTCCATATGAACTGAATGTCCTGTGTCTGTTTGCAAATACATTTAACCATAGGAGGGTTGTTTCAGGAGAAACTTGGCATGTACAAATAAGTGCTATGTAAATATCTTACATAACTTTATTTTAAATCTAGACCGAATATCGCAACAAATGTGAGTTCTTGATTGGGATTGGTGTAAATCAAGAAGACAAAACTGTGGGTTGTCGTCTTGGCAAATATAAAAAGTAGTAAAAGCTTTCCAAGACTACATAAGGTGAGCATAAGTAAAATGAGTTATCCATAAAGGTTTTGATATCGTACTCAAAAATATTTATAAAATTAAATATTATTAAAAGCTTAGTGTTTGTTCTGAGCTTTAAGACCTAAGATATACCAGTCTCAACTTTCAGCAATTCTTTGATGTTTACATCTTGTGCCTAGATCGCTGGGTATTTTTCCCTTGCTCTTGCTCAGCTGTTCTGAGATGGAGGGACAGATACCAGCCGAACACAGCTTTGTTGCAAGCAATGAGATGTATAAGTCTACAATAAAAAGTGTCTGTTACTTGAGAGCTTCTTCCACTAGCGGTAAAGAAATACTCAGAAAAAGGCTTTTTAAAAGGAATTTGAATAACAAAGGTCAATTCCTTCCTTGGATGAAGAGAAGAATCATCCTACAACAAGGAATTAAACAGCAGTTGTAAATTCTAGCAACAATACGTTTTAGAAAAAGGAGTGGTTTCTTTAAAAAGCAATTCAATCCTCAAAAATGGAAACCTTAGAAAGATCATGAGGTGGAATGTTTGAACTTGGTATGAAGCACAGGAGCCAATGAAGGCATTATAGTAAGTTGTGTCATTCTCTGAACGCGGTGGGAAGCTGCCTATATCCTGTCTATAATTTTGGATTGGTTAAAAAGGGGAAGAGGATTGTGAGAAGTAGGGACAGATTATTTTACAGTAGAAGATAGGATCTATTAATCAGTCTCTTTCTTTTTTCATAATTAAGATGCGGAAGTAATTCTTTTCTTGATGAATCAATATAGCCTCTGTTTGTACTTCATATTTTTCATCACTTTGCATGATGAGCTTCTTTTGTTTCAATAAACTATTGAATATTATGAAAGAAAATAGTTCTCTGTTAAGTAACTGAGCTTCTGAAATTGCAGGTCAACTCCTTACTCAGTTTACAGCCCAGAAACCTATGAAGGTCACTGGAAACAGCTCACAGTCCGTACCAGCAGGAGTGGCCACATTATGGCAATTGTTTATTTTAATCCTCAGGTATTTAAGTTGATATACGATGTGCAGCTCAGACACGCAGCTTTAAAATTACATAAATTTGATTTTATGTATAGTGCATGCAGAAGAGAAATAGAATAATTACTTGGTGTACTTTACCTTACATTACTACTCTTCTATTTAGACTAGTCTGATACGTGCAAATGAACAAGTAATTAATATGCTTATAGAAGGCATACACTAAATCATCTCTTTAAGTCACTAAGATGATTATTCTCCCTTCTTTCAAATGAAACCTTCAGAAATTAAGTAAAGAAGAGCTAGCTGACCTGAAAATCTCTCTGGCAAAATACTTCACAGAAGGGATGGGAAAGAGCAGTGGTGTTACTTCTCTGTACTTCGTGGAGGAAGGACAAAGGTGAGGGCCTTGACTTTGCTTTGGGGGATTTTGGTGGTGGCTGGATTCGGTGTTTGCCACAGAAAAGTAGGTAGCGCTTCTATGCCATTATTTTCTCTATTTCATAAAAGTAGCAGCAATGTTATTAACTTGTTGAACAGTTATTTACCTTTTCCACAACAGACTCCTGAAATTTCCCATTCTCCTGTAGCGTTCACAGGATAAAGGCAGGTAGAGTTTTAGTGGGTGAAGCCACTACTAGTTGCTGGCTGTGGAAGTGTTTACTGCGGTAGATTAATAGTTATTATCAACAAGTAACTTCCACCTCCTTTCTTCCCTACTTTATGTGCCTCTTTTAATCTCCCCATCCTCTTCCACAGAGCACAAGGCTCGCACTATCTTAATCTAGAGGCAGCGTAGGTCCTCCTGTTTACATCAGTGGAACAATTGTACACCGTAAGAAAAAAATGGCCAAGAAGACAGTCTTTGGAAGGATATGATAAATGTTGGCCTGCTATAAATTACTGCTTAGTATGCAGCACTACAGTTTTTAAGATGACCGCAGCTTTGGTAAGAATTTTAAGAAACAGATTTGTTGTCTTCTTTTCTTCTTTTATTTTGTCTTCCCATGCCTTGCCCCCTGGCCCCCAGGAAATCTCCCAATCTAGAAGACTTGCCTTTGGAGCACGTGGCTGGTGATAAGTACATATATGAAGAACTCCTTGGCCTAAAATTTAGAATTTCTCCTCATGCATTTTTTCAAGTAAGGATGATACAAAGTTGCTAATTTAACTGCATTTGTATTAATGCCCTTAGACTTGGCTAATGCTGTGTTACAAGGTATTATATTTCTAGAGATTTAATCTTTTATGTATTTGGTGTGATTAAATATCTTTGAGTATTATGTTTGGCTGTAAAAACAGTGAATGAGTGTAAATTGATGTGGGCATGTTGAAGACAACTTTTTTCTTTCTCCTAGATCTTTTTCCTATCATTTGCCTCCTGTTGAACGGCGGACTTTATGCATACAGAGCATGCCATAGCAGTTCAAGAGTCTTTGCAGTACTAACTTTTGTTTGTTTTTCCAAAACTTTTCACTTCCAACACTTTAAAGCCACAGCAGGTAGACTGTATCGTTGAAGTGGAAAGTATTGAAACAGAAAGGAAGTGTATTATCACTTGGTGTCGTAAATACATTGAAGCTAAGCTGTATTTTCTGTTATTTGCCATAGTTTATAGGCTACTTTTTTTTTTCCCCACATAGTGGGCTTTGCTTGTTCTTTAAGACAAAGAATATGCTTGCTTTAGAGGCACCGGTTTAGAAAGCTTATTATATGCTACATCCTTAACCATAATGTATAATTACAGCATTTCTTCGAAGCAGTATTACAAACAACATTAAAATAAAGCTTGCTGAGTTTATTGTCATGGTTACGTTCTCCTGGTTTTGAATCTTTACTACTTTCTACTCAAGGAGGGGGAGTATTTTTAAAGTCTGGACTTCACTTTATCACTTTACATTGTGCTTAATTATTTTGTTTGTCATCTCCTCTAGCTTCCAGACTGACTTTTTAGGCACTGTAGAACAAGTCATGTTTTCACTAGAACGTAGATAACAAAACACTGCTTCTCAGAGAGAATTGAGTGGGACTTTAACAATGGAGTGGTGATCTCTTAATGCCTGCTGGCCTAGGCCAGGTACATGTGATTTTAACTTAGTACGTGAAGTTGACTTGTTTCTTAGAAAAAAGAAAACATGCTTTCCTAAGACTCATTAAAACACATACACTATTTCTGAAGTAGACCTATTTTGACATGTCATTTCACAGGTAAACACGCAAGCTGCAGAAGTTCTGTATACCGCCATTAGGGAGTGGGCACAACTGAGCCAAGAGAGCACTGTACTTGACATTTGCTGTGGTACTGGAACTATTGGGATTTCTCTGGCAAAGGTGAGTAACTTCTTTTCCTGGATATAATCTACAGTAACAGATGTGGATCTTTCTTTAGTTGTGCTTATAATGAAAGAAAATACTTGATGTACTTGAAATGAAACACATTGTATCTTAGTTTTTTCAATTCCTTTCTAAATAAACTGCCTGCAGCTGTTTTTCCAAATCAGTATGAAAGCTCACCCTTGTGTCGAGCAGCCCAATTTATTTTGAAACTACTTCAGTCAAAAGAGGCAGTAGTTCTGTAGGATAGCCAAAATTTACTGCAATCTGTCCACTTAACTAATGAATAACCAACACTTCTTACATCATTTTTACAGCGGAGCTTGCTAGACCAAAAGGAAATCTGTACCCCCCAAAAAAAGAAACATGCCAGCGTAACTGGAGTCTGTCATGTACAGGTTGGGATAAATGGTGTTCATCCCACAACGGCAGTCTAAAAAGTCCCTCTTTATTTGCACAGGTCCCTTCTCAGCCCTTTTTCTGGCTGCAAGGCAGTAATTCTCTTGACCAGGTACTAGTCAGCGTTCATGTGTAGTAGTTAATTGCTGATGCTATGAATAATGGTTAAATTTGCATTTACATACCACAGACGGATCTTTTTTCTTTGATTCTGTAGAAAGTAAAGAAAGTGATTGGAATTGAGCTCTGCCAAGAAGCTGTGCAGGATGCCAAAGTGAACGCCCAGATTAATGGTTAGTTAAGCTAGAATACCAAGACCTTTGTTAAGTACAGCAATCGTATAGCTCGTTTAGCTTTACGTTATCTAAGCAGCTTGGAATTACATGTTGTTGATAGTAACCTTGTCCACTTTAAACATTAATCTCTCTTGACAACAAATACCACGTCAATCTGAGAGATCAGTTTTCCTGTTGACTAAGAGCTAGCGCTTTTTCCCTCCAAAAATACAACATGTCAGTGCAAGAGTGAGATGAAGCCACAGTTACCTTCACAAACAAAACATTAACGGTAGTTAACTTTTTGTGGGGTTTTGCTTTAAGTTCAGACAATGGAAGATGTTCAAGTTACTGCTGTTTAAATGATCAGAAGTACCAGCCATTGTTTAGATTACACTGATTTCAGGGTAGACTAAACAGTTTGTGGTTTCAAAGGCATCAGAACTCAATACCCAGTTTGAGCATACTGACAGATGCTTTGACTAGATACGTACTCTCATACCCTCTTTTCATTTTTTTTTATAGAACTGAATAATATTGAATTTCACTGCGGGAAGGCTGAAGATGTTGTTCCTTCCCTAATTAACGTATTAGCTCCTCAGAACCTGATCACTATTGTAGATCCACCACGAGCAGGGCTGCGTAAGTTTACCTTCTCCTAAGTCTGTTCTCCTAACGGGTATTTTGTGGTGAACCTACGAAAACATCAATGGAATAAGTTAAGCGGGAGGCTTCAGGTATAGCTCAAAGCAACCACGTATTGCAAGAGTTTTGTGCATGCTGGAGTAGACCCTGGAATTTTTCTGTGAGTGTTGATGCATGTGGAACAGGTAATCAGCTGTCTTGGTTTTGATCATCTAGATTCCAAGGTGATTCTTGCCATTAGGAGAGCTGAGCATCTGAAGAAGCTTATCTATGTATCCTGCAATCCCAGAGCCGCAATGAACAACTTTGTGGAGTGAGTATTTCTTGCATTAAGTTGACTGAGTAAATGCGCTAAGGAGAAAAGTACGCGCTTCGTAGGGGGTGAGGGGAACACGGTCATTGGGTTTTTATTTTTAAGCCATACTCATTGAGGTTTACCTTTCACCAGAAGCAGCGGACAGCTGCTGCACAGCAAGCTTGGAACTGTGTTACCCAATACCCAAGTAATGATGGAAGTATTAGGGGTGGTGAATAATCCTGTGGGGGTATTGAGGATTGGGGAAGAAAAACCTTTCTTAGAAGAGCAGCAGTGATGAACAGTATGCTAAAATGTTAATAGTTCCCTCTCCCCTTTCTCTGCCTTTCCTGTCAAGTCTTTGCCGGGCCCCTTCCAACAGAGTGAAAGGAGCCTCCTTCCGTCCCGTTAAAGCAATGGCTGTGGATCTCTTCCCTCAGACCAGGCACTGCGAGTTACTGATCTTCTTTGAAAGGGTCGACTACGCAAACGGCAGCTCTGCTGAAGCAACGCCTGATGCTACTCAAGTCACAGCAGCAGGATACAACTCTGAGACCTTGGATGGTACCAGCCCATCTGCCATTGATGTGAGCCCGGCAACTTCGGCAGCTGCAGGCGCTGCACCTGAAGAGAGGGAATCAACTTGAGTTAACTCCCGAGAGACCCTGTCCAGAAACTACTTTTGCTTGCAAACTGCTTCAGTAACTTTGTTTCTGCAACATCTAGGTAATAAGTCTTTGTACAGCAGAGTAGTTGCAAAGCTTCCGAGTTACTTCATCATGCTCCTTTGAGTTAAATTTCATTATGTACTATTAGGCCAAATCCTGCTTTTCTTCTCCTGCCCTCAGGGGAAAATGTAGGTGAGTGAAGTGCCACACGTGGCGGTCTCACTCTTTAAACAGCTTTAAATAAAGTATTCCACAACGACATTCAGATACAACTGTTTGAAACCTGGGCTGTTTATAACACCGCGCGGTCACTCCCAGGACGGCTGCTACCTGCTGACACCAGGCGGGCAGCGAGGAGGGCCCTGCAGGCTGACTGACGGCTGTACCCAATTCGGGTCACCTTGTTACAGGGACTGGTAACACTCAGCACCTTTTTCAGCTCTGCTAGCCTGTGGGAACAGTGCCGTGTCTTTTCAATGGGCCAGTGAAGATCCAGCAATCTTAAGCCTCCAGTAAATTGCTCCCACGCCAAATCTTCACTAGAAAGCAACAAGCTCATGTTCTAATAAAAATGCTACAGTTTCCACAGTTTTATCCTGAGACTGTGGTGTCACTGACAATACAGTAAAGGCTTTCTGAGATAGTTTCCTACAATGTATGAGTAAAGCTGAGATGACGTCGCTCCAGGCATACCCTCACCAGTGAAAACTTACAGCCAGAAATTAACTGTACAGACACCAGTCGGGGCCGTCCCTCTTGGCAGGAGGAAGTAAGAGATTTTTCATTTTTGATAGAGAGGCTCATTTTCATCTCTGACTGTTCCTAAGTCTGCTCAGCAGCTACCTTCAGTCAAGTACCTCCTACATCACACTGATGTCTAGAAGTTCTGTGGCCCCACTTTTTGAGCCTGTAGTAGCTTCAGAAAGGCTGACCTCAGCCTCATGGAAAGTGTATTAATGGAAGAGCGATGTCACATGCAGTGATTACTGAAGAACGAGAAAAGCAATAGGACTACTACCTCAGCTTCTTCAGTGTTTGAGGCTACAACTGAAGTACTTTTGGACGCAGCGGTTATTTCTACCAAACCACTGCCCTAGACTCAAGAGGATCGTACCTCAGGTAGCTTCCCAGCTGCTTACCTGGAGCCCTGTGCAGCAAGTGGAAGCAGCAGTTGTGTTCCATGCAAGCTGCAGCACAGAGAGCGGACGCTGCCTGACTGTGAGGCCCCGCACCTGAAGCTGCGTGTCCCAGGTACGTGACTGGGTGCACAGAGAAACCTGGCTGAGATGCCGGCCTTGGCACAAGTTGCTCTCTGCTCAGGATTGGTACTTGTGCACAGAGGCTCAGCACCTGGCGTACATTTAACGGATTGCAGTCCATGCTACAGAACAGCCAATACTACTGTGAGAAGGAATAATTGCTTTAAATCTCAAGTTATTGGCCATGCTTCTCATGTACATTGAATACGGATGAACAACAACAAAAAAAATCTATTATTACAGCACAGACTTGCTGGTACCCCTTTCCTTTCCAGTTAGGTCAGCGTGTGACAACAGGTTGTGTCATTTTCAACTGCGACATCATTTAAGTAAAAACACAAATTCCAATTCAAGAAGTCGTCTGAATTCAGTTTCATTCCAAGTGATGCCTAACCACGTAAACATTCAGTTCTGTACCAAAAAAAGTGGTAAGTACTTCCATAACCAATGAGCCTGTACTGATTTAATTTCTATGTAAAAACACCTACAGGAATCAAGGAATAAAAGTTCCTTTTTCTCAATGCGCTTAAGCTATCGTAATACTGATCACACTGGAGCATTTTATAATATCAAACTTTATTGCTCAAAACTAATTGTCTGAAAAATACACATGTAGTACTCAAAGACCAAACACATAGGATTATATGATTGTGCAGAAAAAAAAGCAAGCAGAGGCTCAGTGAAAATGAGGCTTTATAGTTGTACCCATGTAGCACTGGCATCAAGCAACTGCACCCGACACAATCCGTACAGCAACCGCTGTCACCTACTTGGGCAGTACAAATGAATCCCGTTTTTTTTTTTGTTGTTGTTTTTTGTTTTTTTTTTTCCTCACTTTCCTCTCTCAGCTACCCATCGGAATACTGCAACCGATCATTTCATTTGGTTAACAACAGCATGGCTTCTTGCACTTCGCATTCCTTCCCACGGAAGGGTAGGAGGCTATCGCTTCCTGAATTTTACTCCAGAGCCAAAGTACAGTCTACAGAATTAGTAAGAGAATCATGATGCTTTTAAATACTTGGATGTTACAAATGGATTTGTATAAAGCCTATCAGCATCACAGGAAAGTGGAAGTTTACATACAACAGTTAAGTTTATGCATCATATTCTTTCCAAACTTCTGAGTACCCAACTACTTCATCAGTTTCGTTTAATAAATACGTAAGGAAAAGCTGGATGACTGGTGTTTAAATAGGTAGCATCTGACTATTCACTGGAAGTCACAGTAAGTTTTCCATCAGTACCATGAAGATTTGAATGCACACTAATTTAATCCTTAAGGTCAATATACCACACTTTTGTCAAGAAGCACATCATATGCAAAGCAAAAACTGTCTAATTCCCAAAGGGCGGAACAGTTCTTAAAAATACACTCCATCCCTATAAAAATACCCATCCTCCTCCGGATACAGAAGGGATAAATAACAAGTATCAGTGACAAAAGCAGCAGTTGTTTTATGCATTCATACAGTCAAGATCTAAACCTTTACAGCCGATCACCTAGAAAACACACAAGAGTTACACGACAAGTTTAGGATACATCTTGAATCACACTGTAAGTGTTCATGCAGAAGCTGACGTTAATGCAATGATCTATCCTCTATCACAGCAGCTCGTGCTCATGTGCAAATGCAAGACTTACACTCCAAACAATAGTAAACATTAAAACACAAGAATACTTCACAATGACATAAACAGCAGTTCAGTTGTTTGTTCCAGCAGTTATTGCGCTATTTTTCTGGACATCTCCCCAGTTAAAGGCTGCAGCAAGGTCTAATACCATCTTTTTTGTTTGTTTTTGTTTAGAATGCATAATAGACGTTCTAGGCTTTGGTTCTCAATGAAATCTCTGAATGTTTTAATTAAGGGCAATGGTCACCTTATGATTCTGATAGTGGCAGACTGAGGTAATACAGCAATCCTCTTAAAAATAATGGAAACAAATTTGTAAGCGAGGCATCTACGGATATTCTGCAGGCGACCTGCAAACGCGTTGACATTCTGATTTCAGAAAAATAAAAAGATCTGCACGGGTGATTTGTCCTTTACAGTGCCATCCAAGTACAGATTTTTCTGCTGAAAACACATAAGCTGAAGTAAAACCTACCTAAAAGAGTAATACATTTAGGCATAGAAGATACAAGCCCTGTCTTTATGAAAACAAAACAAAAAAACCCCAAAAAACCAACAAAAAGAGAGACAAACAGTCATCACTGCTTGTCACTACTGCACCAGTATTATATACCCTTCAAAAGATGGAGGTTTATTAAAGCTATACAAAAAAAAGCAGAGGCAGTGTTTTTTGTTTTTGTTGCTTAGATAGGCCACTTCTTTAAATAACAGTTTCTGTATAGTCTTCCAACTACCCGTATCCTGTTAGAACAGGATTACAACTCCTGGAACTGAAAAGCTAACACAATAATAAAAAAGGGAGAATTCCTATTTGCAGAGACCTCTGAGCATATCACTCGAACGCGGAAACAGGCAAGACTCCAAGACTCCTCCTGTTTAACCTCAAACATTATATGCAACATGTTAGAGAACATTGGTTTGCGATATAAATTAAAATCCACATATTTCCAAAATAACAGGTGATACTAAAAGGAGGTCTTACAATACTGATGCCAATATTGTTAAAATCCAGTAGGCACTAAATTCATTATACTGCAGCACTCTATATGGAACACGGTAAAAAAACCCAACCCAAACCCCAAAAACGAAACCAAAACCACGCCCTCGAGCCCCCCAGTCCCTGTCCAGGTAAGCGCCAGGAGCTGCAGCAACGGCAAAGACCCGACCCCTTTCACGCCGACGGGAGGATGAGTGTGAAATACAGCAGCACAGCTCTGGGGGACACCACTGAAGCCCCACCGCCGCCTTGGTTTTCACTCTCTCCTTTAAGAACAAGCCAAAGAACCCACCAAGACTGTTCCAAGAGAAGACTTACTGCCATCACCCAGTGAAGAACCCCAGACGAAGAACGAAACCCACCACGCAGTGCTTTCACCACACCCAACACGACTTCTGTGCTTAATTTAAGAAAGCCTCAGATGGCATCACGAGTACTGCCCGTTTCCTAAGATTGTATTTTATAATAGTTGCATATTTGTGATTTTCTTGCTGATCAGTATAACCTGTTATGGTCTCATTCTACTCATTCTGTCATATTCCAAATCTACATTCTAATTTTCATTGCAGAAGTTACACTTTTTCTTTAAAAACTAAAAATGTAATTAAAAAAGTAAAAACAAAGCTTCTTAAAAAACCTAAATTGCTGCAGTTATTTCAGGGTTGTGTTGGTTTTGGTTGGTTTTTTTAAAAAAAAATCTTTGCTTTTATGGTGCAAATTAATTAAGACTTAATTGATCAAGTCAGAGATATTCTGACTCTAAACAAATGAGAAATTGTTTTATTGCTGGGAGATGGGAGTGGAAGGTCTTTAAACACCTCATTGGCAAAATATTTTCAGACTGTTAACCATCATCAGCTGTGTTTTGGCTCCAAGCTTTGAAAACAGCCTTTCAAATGACAGTTTTCATTGTAATCAAATAAATAGGGCTGCATTTCCCCCTTTCAACTGATCTGTAAACTACCATAGGCTCTTTTCAATTAAAACAAACCCCAGTAATTTTGGATATCCCACCTGTTGCTCTTAACACTACCAGGTATACTTGTTCTTTTCAAGTAATAAAAAAATCTGCATACTGTGATCTTGAATAACTAAGCCTGGCAGGAGACAAAAAACAAAACAGAACAAAAGAAACAGCATTACTGGCCTAATCCTATGGCATTAGGAACATTGCTCATCACGTTCACGTATTTGTCACCAAAGTGTCTTATCAGTGCATATTATTATGTGCTGAAATGCAACAAAACTTTTCACAAAAATAGTTTTAGGCATGTTCATACAAGAAGATGTACATATATTTCTTTTATATATACATATATATGAATGTGTGTATACATATAATATCAGCTTCAACCTGTACATAGATATTCTGAATTTCATCCTTGAAACACATCCATTTCAAACATGGATGGCTTTCCAGGAAAAAGTGCTTGATTGAGTTTATCCTGTGTGAACATGCCTGCCCTCTGTGCATTTGCCCAAGTAGAGATCTTTATGATCAATCCTTTAAACGTACATATCTCAGAGGTATTAAAAAAAAAAAAAAAAAACAGAAAAGAAAAAGAAACGAGGAAAAAAGGAATATTGCCCTGATGATGCAAAAAGAACAATGCATAACTGAAGCAGCTTGGATTTTAAAAGTTATCTTGCATTCTGCAGCTAACAATTTTTAAATAATTGTTGAAAATCTAGTTCTTCCGTGTGTTATTGCTCCCCACTTGTAAATTTTCTCATTACACATCGACGGTACACAGAGGTTCACTACCAGGTTGAGCCGATTCCACTATTGTCATCTTGGGTTTCTTTCGTGTTTCCTCCTAAAAGAACATGAAACAAACCCCACCGCATGGTTATAAAGAGAAGATAATAATGAAACACTGGTTTAAAGTTTTGAACAATTCCAGCCAAATTTACGCATCAATCTTTGTGAAAGGCCCATCTGTCCTAATGTTAGAAATAAACTTACCAAAGTAGGTAAAATGAATTTATAAGCCCATTTAAGAGACAGGATGAAAGTCTCTCTAAAAATACACCCCCCACAAAGCACCTCTGCCAAAACTCTAATAATTGGTTAAGTCTGACCCATGGTGTTCTTCCTGTTTGTAAATACAAAAGGGCATATACTCAACTCTTTCTTGTGCCAGTTTTTTCATTTCTTCCTGTAACTTGTTCAGGATGTGCAGATTTGGCTTGTTCTTTTTGGCATACTGCTGAAGTTCTATCACACTTTTATCAGAGGTTTCCTATTCAACAGAACCACAAGCAACAACAGATGAGTTTTTAATGAAAAAAAAAAAAAAATTAAAATATGTGGAGAAGAAATTTAATCGGTGATAGTTGTAATTCCTTAAGTAGTAGTATCTATTTACATGAGTTGGTTAAATATTAAATAGGTTCTGTAATTGCAACCTGAAAGATGCGAGAGTAACAGAATTATTATTGTCAATGAAAGTACTCATCTCATCTTCTGGCCATAGCAAGGTATGAGAATCAATTCAGAAGAATTGAGAATTGCTCATCAAATGCCTTTACTGTGACAGGGAACGCCACTATTATGCCTCAATAGATACCATTAAAGCTTTGCTGTAACTAAATTATAAGACCCAGAAAAATGCAAAAGCAAAACCACAGTCAGGAGGTAGGTTACAGTCAAACAAAATCATGTTCACCTGTTTAACCATCTTGCTACTCTCTCTACCATACATACGCAAAAGAGAGCCCCAATTTTTCACGTGTGGATGCAGTAGCTGTAGGATTTTCTGAGACGCTAATTGTTTCCCCACTCTTTTATTTTTGCCTGTAAAAATAATGAAAATGTGTCAATGCTGGCATGTTACGTAATCAGCTGAACACCAACGTGTACTTGTGTTATTCAAAACAGATACCAGAGAAGAGCAGAGTAAGGATATAACAAGCTAGATAGCTGGACAAGCGCCTACGCAATGGACAACAATTGAGAACAGGAAAAAAGGAAGATGTATCAGAGGTCACGCTAAGTACTGTACTTACACCAGCCTCGCACCGTGTGCTTGCCACAGGTCATGACATATTCGCTCTTCTGATTTTTACCAGGAATCACTTCAAACTTTATGGATGTATCACCCATTCCATGGTTTCTTAAGCACAAACAAAATCAGTATCATATAATAAGTAAAATTACAAACAACCAAAGTGGTTGCAGTTATCTTCGACAGTCATCGCAATGGAATTAGACACAGTAACAATAAGCTTAAAGACATCAATTAATAAAGCGTTCTGTTTTAGATCAGTAACTTGATTTGAATGGAGAAGGCAAGCCCGTGTAAGGAAAAACAAATATATTGTATTTCCCACAACTAAATTCTAATCTCGGAAGACAAGAGGCATAAACAGCAAATATGAATTAAAGGAAGATAGAGCATCAACCAGTTCAATCCACGCCACGTCTCTCATCGCCGCAGCGAGCGCAGTAAGCTTGGCCAGCCCGCAAACCTCCAAGTTACTGACAAACACTGTGGGCACCAGCAGCCAAACAATGTGCCCTGACCCAAACACCTGCACACAACAGAATGTGCTCCTTACTCTGCAGCCTCACCTTTTAAGGCACTCATGGAGAATCTGATACGGAGACAAGAGTCCAGCTTTACTGGTGAGTTCATATACCCGTGAGTCCTCAATACTGATATGGTTAAAATACTACAAAGGAATTGAAAAGGGTTATTGAGCTTTTGCACAAGTAAGGCCTTAATACTGTTCTTAACCCTCATTTCTCCTTTGCAACATTAAACAGATTCTATTACTCTGTGCTTAATACTTAAAATTAAGTATTTTAAAATCCATAATGGAGGTATTTACCAACATCATTAAGACTGCCACACCTAATCATGTTTGCAGACAGAAATTTTAATTCTTTTAACTCCAGTTTTACACTATGCAAGATGGACATAAAAATGACAATCTTACAAATTCTTTATCATCCTTTCTCCCTCAGGACAAGGTTATTTAATTTGTTTTAACTAATTATGAAATTCTACTTACCAAAATGCCGTTTAATAAAAGAAAACATAGCAGCTATTGGAACATTTTGTATTTTATTTTAAAACAATGGAAAAAAATTCTCTGCATCTTCTTAATGACCATTTCAATAGTGTAGGCTATACAATACAATTTTAAGTTAAAGTAAGTGTACAAACAACTCGTTCTGTATTATTAAAACTTTTTAAAATTAGAACATTCCTTCCAGGCTGATCACTAATTTTTCCTTTACTCCTTACTGATTGTCTGTTACAACCTGAATTGTATGGAAGTGAACATATCACTGAAGAACGAGCTATTAAATATTTCCAATACCTGAAAATATAGCACATGGTCTCCACTTAAAGAAAGTTTTCCTTTGGTTTTCTCAAATGTCACTGCCTAAATTATGAAATTTCAGCTGTTTGATCTGGCAATAAGTAGCTTTCATAGCTAAGTGAAAAATGCCTGAGAAGCCTGGGCACTTTTAGTTCTTACTTGGTCTTCTAAGACAATCACATGAAACCAGAATCTAATTCTGAAATTTTCAAGGCATCAGCCAGATGATTCTGGAAGCCAGGACAGTACAGGCAGTCCAGTGTCATGCAGCATTTCAGGGATTTCAGTAAGGGACTAGTTCTCCACATCACAGCAAATTTTCTCATCAGTTCCAATAGGAAAAAAAAGTATTGTCATTGCCATAGATGTTGCGACAGATGAAGAATTTCATATTCCCATCTGAGAAAACATTATGAATTTTCACTAATATTTCTGATATTGAAGTCGTAATGTTTTTAAAAATAGACTCCAACAATGACAGCCAGCAAGCAAGAGTTCAGTACCTCAAGTTCTTCACTGTCTTTGGGCTTCTCCTCAGAGGTCTGTTTAACAAAGTCGGGAATAAGGATTTCCAGTGTAGCTCGAGCTGCGGAAAAGGATTAAACATCTTGATTACATTTATTTTGAACAATGATTGTAAAGAGACAGCAGAATGAAGCACTCTTTAAGCAAGCCTCACTTTTCTCCTAGAAATATCCACTCATATTAGAGACAACTTTACAGATAAGACAGGAATTTTTTTTTTTTTTTAAGTATATTCACTTGCACTTTTAAAGGAAAAAAATCCATTCTACTTGTTCAAGTTAATCATGAAAGTCTCACAACTAATTAAATTAAGAAGGAACTGCTTTTTGCAAATGCCCATGAAAGGAAAAAAAATTATAATCAAGTCTCATTTCAAAACTGACATAGAAGCCTCAGGACCTAAAATTAGAGAGTTGTTATCACCCCTTAGTTGTCATGGCCAAACCATAGTACTGTATCACTAGGGCACTTGGAACCCTGGTATTGTACAAAAAGCACACCCAGAATTTCCCTAATTTTTCACAGCAAAATATCTTTTTTCATGCACAAACAATCCCGGGCTGGGTTTTGGTGATTTAGCTACACTGACGTACTTCACAATTGCAGAAAGTACCACAGGTACATTATACATCTTCACATTTTGAGACGTTATTTTTTTCTTGATCCTTGTGCTGAAGACATTTAAATCTGGAGATAAGTAAGAAGTTCTAATGTGTCAGATAAATTCTCATCTAGATCTTAATTATTCATGTATTTGTTAGACTTATGCAATTAGAACTAATTAACAAGTACATGGAAATCAGTAATCGCATAGTTCAGTGCAATTGTTTTATTACCAGAAAGAGAACCAACAGTTTGAGTGGTTTTTTTGTTTTTAAAGATGGGCAAAGATTTACACTTTGCTAAAATCCATGCACCAGGTGACAGCATAAATATAAAACCCCCAATACATTCTTACCGGTCTGATCATTAGAGACAGACCCTCTTACAGCTACTCAGTATATCTCAATAGTTTACATGCAAGTTAACATCTGAAGTTTCTTCATGGTTTTCTATCCCAGCACATTGTTGAACTGTATTGGGTTTGCACGGCAAGGTTTTGGTAGCGGGGGAGCTACAGGGGTGACTCCTGTGAGAAGCTGTGAAAAGCTTCCCCTGTGTCTGACAGGGCCAATGCCAGCCGGCTCCAAGATGGATCTGCTGCTGGCCGAGGCCAAGTCCATCAGCGACAGTGGTAGTGCCTCTGGGATAACACATTTAAGGGAAAAAATTCCCACAAAACTGCAGAAGAACAGCAGTGGAGAGAGTGAGAATATGCGAGAAAAAACAGCTCTGCAGACACCACGTTCAGTGCAGGAGGGGAGGAGGTGCTCCAGGCCCTGGAGCAGAGATTCCCCTGCAGCCCATGATGAAGACCATGGTGAGGCAGGCTGTCCCCCTG